ACCCGAAGTTCTCGGCCTGCTTACTGCAGGTTCGTGATTGTGTGTGATTCATGATTCTAACTTATTTAACTCATTGTAAAACTTGTATAGAATGTTGCAACTACTAAATTAACATCTCTGAAGATTATTCAACATATGAAACAAGAATCACAACATTAAATATTACATGTAAACCCTAAACATGCATGAAAACATCAAAACGTCAATAGGATCATCAAAACTAAGTTAAAGCTCTTATTTAAATAATCTCAGCTCTTAAACCACGTCTGAAATTTCATTTATAATCATCAACACATGAAAAGATCTGATCTTTATCTTATATACTGCAAAGAATAATTTCTATACTCAAAATAGTTGATTAGGCCCAATAAAACCATATTAAATCTCATTAAAACACTTTAAAACATGGGAGTAGGGTTAGCAGAGATGAAACTCGCCTGAAACTTGTTAAAAACCTGAAAGATGCAAAGCCAAGACGGATCCCTAAGCCACACGCCAAATCCAAATCGAAACCCCGCTTCAAAAAGCTCTTGAACTCTCACAAAAAAGATCTAGAGTTTAAAAGAGGGTTTGGTGGCTACTAGGGTTTTAAAACTCTGAAATAAGATGTAAATTTTCATGAAAGATGGGATATATAAACAAATATGTGCAACTGGACCTCATAAAACTTGAAACCAACCCAAAACAGGAAAACTAGAAATTCGTCAGGAGGTCAACCGCGACTTGTGCGACGATCGACCGGACCGCAAATTTTCAGTTGTGTAGGTTTTACCTTTGTGCATGTTTTCGACTTGTTTCTCTCTCATATATGAACTTGTTTGAACTAAAAACACTTGCTATCATACTCATACACCATTTAATGATATTTATCATGATAAATATCTACTTATCAGAATTAATCACATATTAATTCAAATTATAACATATTATCTCAAATTTATAGGGTTTTAGAAAGTCAAACTGAGAATTGCCCGTCGGTCGACTAATCACCAAGGATCGGTCGACCGATTTGGTAACATCAGTCGACCGATCAATTTGGGTCGGTCGACCGACCAGAACACAACCTAAGTTACAGGTTTTGTGCAAGTTTGCATGTTTTTGACCCGTTTACTCTCGTATATGTATTCAAATGATCTCAAATTATTCACTATCATACTCATTCATCTTAGAATAGTATCAAACATGATTGAAATCATTTATCACTATTTATCATAATTTTTTTAGAAATTTGTGGGGTTTTACACTTTTCTTTGTAGTATTCCATTTCAAATACTTTATACGTGGGAATGATTCCCAATTGCTTGCCTATCACTATCTCATTGTTTATTCAATTTGATATTATGCCTTTGAAATTTGGCGAATTATTAAGATGTGATACATTAGTTCTTGTCTTCGTTACACTATTGATTTGATTAGTAGAAATTTTTTATTTAGTGGATTAAATGATGCTTTATGATTCATGGATTGATTTATTATTATGTTCTAGGGTAACCAAGTGCCCTATGTAAGGGCTCACCAGTGGGTTTATAAATGAAGGCATGCATGGTTTGTTGATATATCCCATGATTAGGGAATTTAGAATCCTGAATATAGAGCTTGATTATCATTATTGAGATGCCAAAGTCTCATTTCAGTCATCGATTATATTATAAGCATTTGTAGCTTATGCTGATATGTATTTGTTTCAATTTTGATTGTTTACACTATCAGTCCCTTTACTCCTTATGGTTATACCCCCAATCTTTTATTATAGTGTTCTATTGAGCCTTATGCTCACCTCTACTTGTTTCTGCATCTACCCGTAGATAACGACCCAGTTAAAGACAAAGGGATCACAAATCCAGAAGAAGACTAGTAGTAGTGCTCACAAGAAGTGTATATCTGGTTATATTTTTGTAGTACTTTTGTGTTGTTGGACAAGTAATAATGTATAAAAACTCATGTTAAGACTATGTTGTGTGACATTGTTCCCTTGTCTTCTTCTAGATATTTTGGTATTATGTGGTTTCTACTATCAACTTGTGATTCTAGATTATGTTTATTTTTGTTGCTTTATTCTGCTCTTTTGATAGTGTATATAAGAATTGAGTAGGTTGAACCTCCATCTTACGTCTGGGTCATGCACTATTTTTATATACCTCTTGTACCATACTCTGCATGTTCTGAGGGGCATTACACTTGACATAAGCTATTGATCGTTTGGATTTCTAGTTGCTTGGGTATCGATATTAGTATCGATAGGGGTACTGAAACAAGTAGCGATACCCACCCTATTACATTTCCTAATTGGGTTGATTTTCTTTCTTGCTCTCTAAGAATTGGTAATTAGTATTGTGTGTTTTATTTAACTTGTAATTGATCCTTTTTAATCCCTTAGGCTTCTCTTGAATGCTCTTAGGCTCTTCCAACTCTGCTTATTTGCTCTATTCTTTATAAACTATTATTTTCTATAAAATTGATAATGAGAGAATTTATCAAAGATTATTTATATGAAAATTTAGATAAAAAAGATATAAAATTGCAGTAAAATATATCAATCAAGCTTTCTCTGGGTTTTTTTATAGAATTTATAGTTTTACCACTTGTTCACTAAATTTATCATAACTTGAGTTCTATAGCTTTGATTCAACTCAAACTTGATTATATAGATTTCTAATTAAATGATGGACAATCCTATGTTCTTCAAAGATGAAATTAATAAAATTTAAAGATTACAGTAAATATCTAAACACCTTAAAGTCATTGTACATTGTTACTGTTGCTTGAATGACATGTGTAT